AATTTCGACCATTTCGACTTTTCATTTCGACTTTGACCTCCAAAGTCGAAACATTTCGACTTTTGGGTTTTCATTTCAACTTCATGTATAAGCTGGACCCTCTGGAATCACCAATAAAATGATTATCCATTTAGGTTCTAAAATGCAATATTTACTTTAACAACTCATCAGCATGTGTTTCTCTATTGGGAAAATACCTAATAAAAGAAGATCACTTATATTTATCCTATTCCTAAACCAACAGATTGAATTGTGATATCACCCAAACTTGTTCTATTACACTCCTAGAAATCGCTCATAAAAGCTTCATTAAAATTTTTAACAATTGACTTTCTAAGCTCCTTGAGAAACATTATATTTTAAGAGATAGTAATTTCGCTAGCCTCCCTGGTGTCTCAACAGTTTCACCAATCAAAATTCTTAATATGCTTTTAGAAGATGCTAATGAAAACAATAAAGAAATTTGGATCCTTCTTTAAGATCTATCCAAAGCATTTGGGTCATGGACTAGCAAAATGTACTTCCAGAACCCTCCTGTCAAAAAAATTTTTTTTTGATAAACATAAACTAGACATATTCATTATACAAAATTTGACTTTTAAGTTGTGTAAGTATAATAAATTATTGATTTATTTTGATTGAAATTTTTGTTACTGAAAAAGGTCGACCAATCTAAAATTAGAACACTTATATTTAAGGAAACGATCAAGACGATCATCAGCTAGTCTGAAAAATTACTTGGTAAATTCACGAATAATACATTTTGAGCGTCCTGATCTATCTTTTTCAATTTCTATCCGTTTGATCTTAAATATCACACATTTGTCATTCAGACCTTGAACTAATATAATCTAAGATTTGATACAATTTCATCATATGCACACGCTTCCAACTCATTTTAAACTTTTGTCACTTTTTTTTCAGCATTATAATTGCAATGATTATTTACTACTCCGATTCTGAAACTTCAAATGATTTTATTATATAGAGTTTTTGGAATAGTACTAGAAAAGCTTTATTTTACTTTTTTTTAAAAAAAATATAATCTATCTAACTATTGGTTTAGGATACATGATATCCTGAAATGATTCATCAACAAATTTTCGAATATTTTTATACAAATATTCTTGACGCGCTAATAATAAAGGTTTAGAAGAAAATATAGCTATTGGAACCCAAACATTGAAATGTTTTTTTTTAAAATATCAAAACATTGAAATTCTCCTTCCGCCTCTTTTTGAGTAAATATTTTTCCTGGTTCACTTCTTTTAAACCAAAAATGTTGATGTTTTTGAATATCAGGTAAATTTTGAAAATGAGGTTTTAAAAATGATTCAAAATCATAATATAACTATCCATTTCCATTATTATAGCGAATACAGTCACACCTCGATATAATGAAGTTGCCGATCCAGCCGATCAGAACTTCGTTATAAGAATCTTCGTTATAGCGTTAACGAATTATTTGTTATAGTAGATGATTACTGATTTCATTACACAA